CCAGTTAGGGCACATGCCCGTGTTGTGGGTTCAATCCCTGGTAGGGGGCCTGCAGGAGGCAGCCTATCGATGGCTCACTCTCACATCGATGTTTTTCTTTACCTCTGCCCTCCTCTCTAACAACAACAAAAATCTTAAAAAAAATCCACTAGAAAATGGGAGATGCTTAATAAATACTTTTTGAAATACACACACACACACACACACACACACACACACACACACACACACACATATATATATATATATATATATATATATATATATATATATATATTTATATCCGTGTTTCCCCGAAAATAAGACATCCTCCGAAAATAAGACCTAGCGCATGGAAAGATAAAACATCCCCTGAAAATAAGACCTAGCGCAACTTTGGGAGAAAAAATTAATATAAGACACTGTCTTATTTTTGGGGAAACAGGGTATATATTTTATTGATTTTTTTTTACAGAAGGGAAGAGAGAGGGATAGAGAGTTAGAAACATCAATGAGAGAGAATCATCGATCAGCTGCCTCTTGCACACCTCCTACTGGGGATGTGCCCACAACCAGGGTACATGCCCTTGACCAGAATTGAACCTGCGACCTTTCAGTCTGCAGGCCAATGCTCTATCCACTGAGCCAAACCGGTTTGGCTAAAATATATTTTTATTGATTTCAGAGAGGGAGGGAGAGGGAGACAGAGATAGAAACATCAGTGATGAGAATCATTGATTGGCTGTTTCCTGTACACTCCCCACCTTGGAGCCCACAATCTGGGCATGTGCCCTTGAGTGGAATTGAACCTGGTCCTTTAGTCCACAGGCCAATGCTCTTTCCACTGAGCCAAATCGGCTAGGGCAAATAAATATTTTAAAGAATTCCTACTTTGTTCTTTGGGAAGGTAACGAGATTATTTTCCCTGCTGTCATCCTTGCAGTGGAATACATATTTTCTGTTACACATTTTAATTTTAATTTGACTTCAAGAAAAACTATTGTTATTGTAAAAGCTACTGGAAGACAAAGTCATGTTCAAGTAGTTACATTCAATAATCAAACAACAAAAATAACAAGGAGAATGCCAAAACAAAGCCACTATTTTAGAGATGAATAATAGTTCACACTTGTAATTGATAGTATATAAATAAAAGACTATTTCAAGTATGCTGTAAGAGGTATGTCCTGACAAAAAGCATTCTAGGCAACTGATGTTCATTTTATTATTTATGAAATTAAACTCAGGAAAAGGACACTTTGAATATGGTTTAGGGATGTATACTTGCAAGATCCTTTTCAGAAATTCTAATTGTATTGGTTGGTTTTTTAAATTATGTAGTTTTAGAAACTAAGTACTATCATGAGTCAAAGATTATAAACTCTTGAGTGTAGCTATTATGTTTTTATGTAGGACCCAACAATTTTATTTTACTTTTTATTTTTTAAAATATATTTTTATTGATTTCAGAAAGGAAGGGAGAGGGAGAGATAGAAATATCATGATGAGAGAGAATCATTAATCTACTGCCTCCTGCACTTCCCCTCTTGGGGATCAAGCCTGCAACCTGGCATGTGCCTTTGATTGAAATCAAACCTGGGACCCTTCAGTCTTCAGGCTGACACTCTATCCACTGAGCCAAACCAGCAAGGACAGAACCCAACAATTTTATTTATTTATTTTTTTTAAAAAAATATATCTTATTGATTTTACACAGAGAGGAATTGAGAGGGACAGAGAGTCAGAAACGTTGATGAGAGAGAAACACCGACCAGTTGCCTCTTGCACACCCCCTACTGGGGATGAGCCCGCAACCAACGTACATGCCCTTGACCGGAATCGAACCCGGGACCTTTTAGTCCGCAGGCCGACACTCTATCCACTGAGCCAAACCGGTCCCGGCAGAACCCAACAATTTTAAATGGAACTTAGAAGTGAGAAAAACACCACATTATCTGCAATAGTGTCAACAATATAAAATAAAAAAAAGATGAGTTCGTCAAAGTGACTAAATTCAGTTGTACTTAAATCAAATTGTAAAACAACCAATTTATAACTGTGGAAAAATAATGTATATTTCAAAACTGCTAAAATAAAATGATTAATAAACCCATAATAAATCAAAACATAAAAGCACTATTCAGAATCAGAATATGGGGGAGAAAAACATTCTCCCTCAAGTGTCATGAAGCAGCAACCAGAAAGCTTCCAAAATCCACATGTAAGTGGTGAAGTTCTGTTAAAAATAAAAACCAAGAAAGAATTCTGAAAAGAAGGGAATTCTGCAGAGGACTTTACAAAAATCAGTCAAGTTTCTAGAGGAAGGTAAAAGGAATTAATCCTAAACTGCTTAGCTGGCAGAACAAACCTATTTCATTTTCTTTTTTGCTGCTCACGATTCTTTTTATAATTTGTGAGGCAAACGTAGGAAGTTTCTGCAGGTCTTGGGAAATGACACAAACTGTATTAAGTCTGACTTTTAGGAAACCTAATCTGCTCCCATTAGATAAGATTTTACTATACTTGCTGGGAATAAGACTAATCTGTGGATGAATTGTCCCCCCTTTGCTTTAGGGCAGCGATTTTCAACCTTTTTCATCTCAAGGCACACAAACTAATTACTAGAATTCCATGGCACACCAAAACACGTTTTGCTGATCTGACAAAGAAGTATAATATTGATTGAATTACAAAAAAGTAATAATGATAACAATAATGATAATAATAATAGTAATTATTTACTCTTTTTGCTCCAAAGTGACTTTGTAAAAAAAAAAAAAAATCAGGTGCCCATACTTGCATATAAGGATTTCTGGTACCAAGAATTAACCAATCAGCTGCACCCTTATTGATATGACTAATAAGATACAATTCTATTATATGACCTATGTATTTATGGTTCAAGAAAGGGCATTCATACTGGATGGCTACTGTGTTGGCTGTAGTCATTTAAAAAATATTTTTATTGATTTCTGAGAGGAAGGGAGAAAGGAGAGATAGAAACATCAACGATGAGACCAAATCATTGACTGACTGCCTCTGGCACGTGCCCTATACCGGAATCGAACCTGGGACCCTTCAGTCTGCAGGCTGACACTCTATCCACTGAGCCAAACCTGCTAGGATGGCTGTTGTCATTTTTAAAAAATTTGACAATCTAAGGGAAAAAGAAGTCAGTGTACCTGAATAATCAGGTATTGCATGTTTTAAAAATTCTTGTGGCACACTGGTTGACAATTGCTGTTTTAGGGTCTTTGATAGATATGATGAATGAATGTAAAGAATTTCATGGTGACTTCTTGATCAGCAATGTCCAATGGAACTTTCTGCTATGATGGAAATGTACTATATCTTCTCTGCTCAATATAGTGGCCACTTGCCATCTAAATATAGGTACTGCTACCAATGAACTGAATTTTAACTTTTATTAGCAAAATACATTTTATTTAATTTAAAAAAAAGTATATTTTATTGATTTTTTACAGAGAGGAAGGGAGAGAGATAGAGAGCTAGAAACGTCTATGAGAGAGAAACATCGACCAACTGCCTCTTGTACACCCCCTACTGGGGATGTGCCCGAAACTCAGGTATAATACATGCCCTTGACTAAAATCAAACCTGGGTCCTTTCAGTCCGACGCTCTACCACTGAGCCAAACCGGTTTCGGCCATTTTATTTAATTTTAATTAATTTAAATAGCTTCCTGTGGCCTGTGGCTACCATGTTGGGCAGTGCAGTTCTAGGTCCTTTTTATCCCTTTAACTAGAGGCCTCAGGCATCATTCTACTGCATACCCTTGGGTTTTCTGGGATTAATTATTATCCCAGGCTTCTATATTCCCTGGGGATAGGGTGATCATATAATTGGCCAAACCTGGATACTTTGCGAGATACAGGGAGTGCTACTTCAATGATGGTGAGGCAAGAAGCATAATGTGCGTCATCCAGGGCACACAAGAGGGTTGTTCCCCCCACTCCTAGGATTGCTGCTTGGAGATTCACTGGGAAGTCACTGGACTTCATTTCTTTTCAGACTGCTGTTCCAGGTCAGGTTAAGCATCTTTTTTAGGGCACACATTTCATCATACCATGACTTTGTTTGCCCCCATAAATATTTACCAAAAATTTTTATAACTCATCTCTGCTCTCCCAATGACTTCCAACCACGACATAAAGCAATGTCTAACATGATGCTAAATGACCCACTCAAAACAGAGGTAGATAATAAATCATACTGATTTGAGATTAGACCAAGTATCTGAAGAATTAAATTGTTACATTTTCCTCTGGCTTTCGGGTAAGAAGCCAAAGAGAGCCAAAAAGATCAGCGGTATTTCTTTGCAGTATAGTCACTCAGCATTCCCGGGTGGACACCAATTCTCCTGAAGGGATTAAAGTGGGCAGGCTGAGCATGAGCCAGTTCATTTGGTCCAGATTCTGAATTTTCTGTCGGGGAGTAGATCCCAGAAATAAGCTGCTCTGGGTCCTTGTTTACCTTTCTGCCATTGGTTGAGGAAGCATTTTAAGATCTGCTTTTAACCGTTATGTTTCAGCCAGGATACAAGCAAATGCAGAATACGGTAGGGTTTCCATTTTTTAGAACTCAACCTGTTTTGAAATAACCTAGAGGGTTTTTTTTTCTTTGACACAAAGTACAGAACATGGATTGGAACATAAAATCATAAAAATAATTTGAAAATTCCAATCCAACTGCATCTATACACTAAATGTCTTTCAAAGGCAACCAAGTCACAAGACAGGCCAATTCTCATGTAATCTCACTGGCATGCCATGACTTTTCAAATCCTGCCCACCTTTTGTAACATACTTTATGTTGAACACAGTAGAGTTTTGTGCTAAGAAAAAAATGTTTCAGAATTCAATAGGCATGTGGATGAATAGGAAAAGTGCAGGCAATTATTCCAGGAGATTTACCTGCCGGGGAAAAGAATTTAGCAGCTTAGTAATTCAAATAATAAAAGCGAAGTCTTGGAATCATTATGTGAGAGGTTTTCCACCAACCTGATAGCTCGAATGACAGTTTTAAGTGGTGGGGTGAGGTCTTCTACAGATACATCACACTGGCATCCTTTCTCATCGTATACATCATCAGTTCCCAGGGCGGTGTCAGCTGCAAGAGAAAATTCCCAGTTAAATGCCACCAGCAGCAATTTAAAACACCGTGTGGAACTTGTCTCCCAGAGCAATAGGGCGAAACTCACAGACTAACCAATCAAGTATAAGGTCAGCCAATTGTTTTTCTCAATGTTTTTTCTTCTCCTTTCTCTACAACCTCATCAATTTTATGTTATTTGACTTGAATACCTTCCTACGCTGATCTCCACAGAGAAGATGAAGATGTAGACATGCTGTCTTTCCTTCAGTGGTGATGAATTTGTGTTGATCCACCCCTGCTCTTTGCCCAGTTCTTTGGAACAACCAGCATTTAGAACACAGTTGTTTGGCGTTAGGGAAACAATCTATGGATACTTAACCAATTGATCTTTATCTATAGAACTTGAAACCCAGGACAATGACCCTGTCAGTCCCGCACCCTCAACCGGCAAGTAAGCCCTCAGACCCCAAAATTTATCTTTTCCTGGACACAGGCAGCCCAGGAGACAGCTTGCTTAAGATAACACAACCAATTCAAAGAGATTTTCAGGTTGGTAATAAAATCAGTTCCTCACAAACTGAGCCAATTAACTTTATTTTCTTTCTGAAACAAATTAACTTTTTGGGTTAATAGCAAGGGTTGTAAAAGGGGGTAGGGTTATAATAAACCAGATTAGTAAGAACTTATAAAATGAATAAGAAACTCCTATCATTGAAGCTTTATTTTCAGCAACAAAATATTGAAAAGAAATTACAATGCTTGGAATGGGAGGTGAGTGAAGTAAATATTGGTAGGTTTATATAATAGAATATTAGGAAGCTGTAAATATGATGTTGAATATGTGGAATCTAATTAACAAATAAACTGATGAATGGAGTGGATCCAGGGACATGGAAACATGGAACAGAGTGGAATCTGAGAGGGAAGGCAGGGGAGGCAGAATGGATGGGAGGTAGTCAACCAAAGACCTTAACTTGTGGACGCAGACATTGGGTAGTGAGGACCTGAGGTAGGGGGTGGGGGCAGGCTGGAAGGGGTAATGTAATACTTTCAAAAATTGCTAAAAAATAAATAGAAAAAAAAATGGTGTTGAAGACTATGATTGGAGAAAATATCACAATATATCGATATTATTACTATTTAAAATGTTTAAAACAAATTTTTATTGATTTTAGAGAGGAAGGGAGAGGGAGAAAGAGAAACATCAATGATGAGAGAGCATCATTGATTTGCTGCCTTTTGCATGCCCCCTACTGGGGATCAAGCCCATAGTCTGGGCATGTGCCCCTGATTGGAATTGAACCTGGGACCCTTCAGTCCACAGGCTAACTCTCTATCCACTGAACCAAACCAGCTAGGGCAAAATTATTTATTTATTTATTAAACTTATTGGGGTGACATTGGTCAACATGGACATATAGGTTTTAGGTCACAATATATTATTAAAGAAAAAATCTATATATCTATTGGGATTAAGCAATTTTATTATTTTGCTTGCCTATATTTCTAAAATGTCTACAATAAACATATATTACTTTGGTAATAAAGTAATAAAAATCATGCATGAGAGATGAGTTATATAGCCTCCAAATATATGACTAAGGCTCTTTAAATGCTGACATACACTAGAGGACTAACACTGCTCTCTGCTGCCTTTGCTCTGCCCAGTGGTCATGTGCTAAGTCTTGAAAGGTCCTTTGCCATGGGCTGTCCAGGTTGGGTTAAAAGTCCTGAAAGACTTTCGGAGGTCCATTCACTGAAGCAGTGCTTAATAAAAGGTGGTTGATATGTCATTTAATTAAACTATTTACTGTGTTTACTCAGTTTATTGTGTGCTGAGAGTGGAGGTGGTGGTGGTGGTGGTGGTGGAAGAGATGGGTTTTCCCAGCTCTTCCTCATAGTTCCTATGGCCTGATAGTGATGATGATGATGATGATGATGGTGATGATGATAACAATAGCAACCACGCACTGAAAATTTATGGCAGGCACTTAGGTGAAGCTTCTGAAAGCATTCGTTTTCTTCTAGGAACTCTACAAGTTGTTGGTGATATTATGCCAGGTTTTTAGATGCCAAAACAGGCACAGAGAAGGTAAATACCTAACTTGAAGCCACAAAGGTGGTAAGTGTAGTTAATAAGTTGCAGAGCATGCTATTAATTCTTAAAATTTATTGATTGATTTTAGAGAGAGAAAGAGGGAAGGTAGAGAGAGAGAGAAAGAGAGAGAGATGGAAAGAGAGAGAGAGAAAAAGAGAGAGAGAAATATATATATATATATATATATATATATATATATATATATATATATATAGAGAGAGAGAGAGAGAGAGAGAGAGAGAGAGATTTGTTATTTCACTTATTTATGCATTCATTGGTTGATTCTTGTATGTGCCCGGACTGGAGATCAAACCCACAACTTGGTGTATCTGGATGATGCTCTAATCAACAGAGCCACCGGCCAGGGCTGCAGAGCATGTTATTAAATTCCTGTTTCTTGAGGATCCAAGATGGCTGCACAGGTAAACACCTAACCGCAGCCGCACACAACAATTTCAATAAAATACAACTAAAATATAAAATGGACATTACCCAGAACTACAGGAAAGTAGGCTGACTGGAAATTCTACAACAAGAAGGAAAGAGAAAACCAGAAGGAAAATCAGAGGAGCTGTAAAAGCCTAAGGTACGGAGATACGCTGTGCGTGCGGAGAAGACAGAGCTGGAGAGGAGGGGGCGGCTGAGTGCCTGGCTGGCGTTCCCTAGCGGGAAGGAGATAAAAGCTTCGGATTGTGCCTAACCCCAGACCCGACAGCACTGCACCCCAGTTCTAGGCCAGACCCTGGGGACCCAGGCTCATACAGAGGAAGCTGGACTGTAAGGCGGAAACCCGGGGGAGCGGCGAAAGGAGGTCCCGGAGGCGCGCCTAGAGAACTGATGGTTGGCTGAGTCGTGGGATTGCCCTGGAGGGAAGGAGACAAAAGCTCCAGACTGCTCTGAACCCCACTTCCAATCCCACTTCCAACTGAACTGAACCCCAGTTCCAGGCTCATTGGGGGAGAACCTAGACTGTTTGGTAGCAGGTGAAACTCGAGGGCACCTTTCTCTCAGAGGTGCTTGCAGTGAATATCGAAGGACCCTAAGGAACACTGAGACTCAGGAACCGCATAGGGCGTGGCTGATGGAAGCCAAGGCTGTAGGCTCCACCCTGAAACTCCGCCCCATCCAAGCTGAACACAGAGACTTTTAAGGCTACCAACTCAGGGAAGCTGCCAAAATGCTGAGACAAGGAAATAGTTCACAAACGAAAGAAATGGAGGACAAAAAGTGACTGGATATAGAATTCAAAACCACGCTTATAAGGTTTTTCAAGAATTTCCTAGAAAAGGTCAATAAGACCTATGAGGATATGAAAAGGGATCAACTAGAAATAATAAGGGATCAACAAGAAATAAAGAATACATTGTCTGAAATAAAAAATATTATACAGAGTCCTAAAAACAGAATGGAAGATCACAGGAATCAAGTCAATGATTTGGAACATAAAGAGCCAGAAGACACTCCTCCGCAGAAGCAAGAAGATAAGAGAATCCAGAAAGTTGAAGATAATGTAAGAAACCTCTGGGACAACTTCAAGCAAACCAACATTAGAATTATGGGGGTCCCAGAAGATGAGAGAGAGCAAGATATCGAAAACATACTGAAAGAAATAGTGACAGAAAACTTCCCCCACCTGGTGAAAGATTTAGACTTACAAGTCCAGGAAGTGCACAGAACTCCAAACAAAAGGAATCCAAAGAGGACCACACCAAGATAAATCATAATTAAAATTCCAAGAGCAAAAGACAAAGAGAGAATATTAAAAGCAGCAAGAGCAAAGCAGGTAGTTACCTATAAAGGAGCACCTATATGATTGTCAACTGATTTCTCAACAGAAACTATGCAGGCCAGACAGGAATGGCAAGAAATATTCAAGGTGATGAATAGCAAAAACCTACAGCCAAAAATAATCTACCCAGCAAAGCTATCACTCAGAATTGAAGGCCAGATAAAGAGCTTCACCAATAAAAAAAAAAATAAAGGAGTTCATCACCACCAAACCAGAATTATATGAATTGCTGAAGGGGGTTCTTTCAGAAGAGAAAGTAAATAAAGATAAAAACTATGAACAACAAATACATAACTATCAACAAGTGAATCTAAAAACCAAGGAAATTAAAAAAACCCAACAAACCTGATGAACAATATTAACTGTTGAATATAATAGAATCAGAGGTATGGAAGGAGAGTGAACTGACGATTCCCGGGGAAAAGGAGAGAGGTGTGGGAAGAGACTGAACATAAACTGTGCACTTATAGATGAGGACAATGGGGAGTGGGGAAAGGGCAGAGGGTGGGGTGGGAACCTGGTGGAGGGGAGCAATGGAGAGGGGGAGGGGAAAGAGGAACATTTGTAATAATATGAACAATAAAGATTTATTTAAAAAAATTAAAAAAAATCCTGTTTCTTGAGGATCCAAAGCCCTTGCATTATGCAGTGTTAGATGCATTCAGGGTTTGACAGTGGCATGCAATGTGTCAGGAGAGGGCCGGGGGGAAGAGTGCATCTGGCTGGGTACATTCCAGACAGGTTTGCCACCGTCTAAACAAGAGTACACTGATTAACTCTGTCAGTAGGTTCTGACTCAGTGATGATCTTGATGGAAGCTAGCCATTTTGTTTAATCAACCACGCACACAACATAACCCTTTAGCTTATAAAACGATGCCCAAAGTTAGATGACATTCTTCCAGGGACTCTTCATGATTTCTTCCTCTTCGTTGGTAAAGTAGGTTGAGTAATATTGCCTCAAAGTTCATGTCTACTTGGACTATCAGAATATGACCTTATTTGGAACAATGGTCTTTGCTGACATAATTAAGGTAAGGTGTCAGATCCTAGATTAGAGTGAGCCTTAAGTCTAATGAAAGTGCCCGTGTAAGACAGAAAAGGAGAAGATAGAGGAGCACAGAGAATA